TAGATGTTTTAGTTATTAATTAAATAATGGAAATGTTGAACGTTTATAAATGTGTCATTATAAGAAAAGATTTGAATGATCTCATTGTCATTATTCTTGACTGAGCAGCCATATTTTGATACAGATACATCAGGTTGATGAATCGAGTGCCGTGAATCATACTATTAGTCATAATTTGTTTATACTGTATTTCTGGTTAGTTTGATGTTATATTTGTAAACTATCTTAAAACAGCAAATTCATAAAATGAACAGTGTAGAGTATTGAAAAGAAACAATCTTGATAATTATCCAAGTTTCAATAGTTGAAATCATTATTCAATTGAAGCTAGACCACCATGAGAAACCTGGAAGCACTGAACGGCCGTTTCGTTCAAGTAGATTGGTTGAAGTTAAACATTAACACTGTTGGACGTCAGCCAGCTCAGTGGTCTAATGGTTAAGCGCCCACGCGCGAGACTGATATGTCCTAGGTTCGAATCTCTCGGGGAGTGGGATCGTGGATGCGCACTGCTCAGTAGTCCCTCGATAGGACGAAACGGCTGTCCATTGCTTCTAGATTTTCCATAGTGGTCTATTTTCAATTGACTCATGATTTTTACTATTGAAATTTCCAAAATCTCCACAAAACCCCTTCTGATAATTATATAAGTCTTAAATTATAGAATCATGTGTCAAACTCTATAATCTAACTATTTAAATGATTAGTTTGCCTTGAAGTAACCTTTTTTGTTTCTCTTATGGAAAATGTAAACAAAACAAATGATCTCAATATTGAAATGATTATTCTCATTGAAATGAACTATCTAAATGATAACCTTTCTTATCCATCCCACATATTTTTGTGGATTATGTTTAATTTAGAATTGTATAAGTGATCAATTATGAAGGTTAGAAAATAATTTATATTGTGAGATACATTCATATTACTCATTTAAGTAGTATAACTGTTACTATGATCCATCTATCAGATTTGAACATTAAAATTGATTGACATAAAGCTTTGATTAACTTTCCTTAAAGAAAAATTATATTAGAGACGTCAACATTTTGTGTTGTTTCAGTGAATTTAGTCGAACATAATATTTAGAAAAAAAAGGGATGTTTGTTTAATATTTGATCGGAATTTATTATCTGCTAAATTGTTTCGTTTGTACTGGTTAAAATCATCTGCACAATCATTTTCTCTTCTACCATTGATTATTTAAGATAATATGACTCAAGTGTTTTTTTTTCAAGGCTGAAGTTGTGTTTAAGTGTATACTTTACTGTTTCTCGGATTCTTGAATTTTAGTAATATTATAACTTCTAGGTCTATAGTTTTTATCAGAATGGGTTTTGTGGAGATGTTAGAAATTTTACTGATTGAAAACATGAGTCTATTGAAGATAGACCACCATGGAAAACCTGGAAGCACTGGAAGGCCGTTTCTCCCCAGTATGGAACTCAGCAGTGCGCATCCACGATCCCGTGGATTGGTTGGAGTTAGAAATTAACACCGTTGGATGCCGGCTCAGTGGTCTATTTGGTTAAGCGCCTGGCGCGAAACTGATAGGTCCTGGATTCGAATGTCACGGGGAGCGGGATCGTAGACGCGCACTGCTGAAGAGTCCCTTAGTGGGACGAAACGGCCGTTCAGTGCTTATAGGTTTCCCATAGTGATCTACCTTCAATTGACTCATGATTTCAACCAGTGAAATTTCTATAGTTTTTATTAATTCTTTGGAACTGATATGTTCTGAATTTCATCCCAGAGGGAATGACGAATGCACATTGCGGTTAGCATTAAAACGACTTTGCTATTTTCTTTAACCCCAAAGAAAAGTTTTGAAGGCATCTCTATAAATAATAAGAGCATTGAGATTAATTTAAATATTAGTATGGGGTCGTGGAAATTGTTGGACTATTGATCGAGATCATGAATCGATCAATGTTAGACCACCAATGAAAACCTTTAAGCATTGGGTGACCTTTTCGCACTGCTGAAGAATCTCATTCTATGACGAAACGGTCCTCCAGTGCTTACAGATTTTTAATGGTGTTTTAACATTATTCGATTCTTGATCTCAAAAAATAATTAATTTGTTATCGAAATATATAACCAGTACGTTTAGGTCTACATTTCCTTTCGTTCAAATACCTATATAGAGATAGCATGCTAAGAAATAAATAATCCTTGGCATAACCACGTTCTTAGATTGATTGTAAGTGGTGATAGAATAATGACTAGAACTCACTGTATTTGAAAAGATTATCATTACACAAATTATTGGATTTTATATCTATCCTAAACAACAACAGAAAAATAGTAACTGATTATATCAGTTTTGAATAATGAGAAGAAGAGATATGAAAATTGTTCAATAAATCAATAACAGGTTTAAATGATACATTGAAACTACGGTTGCATTGATTATATTCTTACAATACAGTGGAGATCTATTCAAAGATAAAACAACTGTTCAGTTCATTTTTGTCCTTAATGATTATTTAATTAAGGTAATTTCATGATGAGATCTATAAATTTTAATAATTTTCACAAATTTCTCATATTAAAAGGTATCATTTGTTTTATAGTCTTTACACTTCAATTGATACTTATTCTTTTCTTTTGTTTCTGACAACTTTTGTTCTTTCTCTAAGTTTGTCCAGCATGGGTTCAATGGGTTTCACTGATTCCCAGTACTGCCAAGTTGTATCTCCTTATTTCTGTTGCTAGTTGACTAGTCTTCCCGGTCTCCCACATTGTTCGAACGTTCCATGTACCTATAAAAATTGTTGCTCTGGTTGTTAGAAGGGACATCGGCCTTGTGGCTTCCGAAGGAATTCGGCTTGCATCATGAGGCGTCATAGTTCTTCTAAATAAAGACCTTCTAACTCCCAGGGCAGAGTTTAAATGGTTTGAATTATGTTTTCTGGTTAGCGTTTTTTTAGCGAGTTAGTTTTCTACGGGATGGGGTCGCTAACCCTATGCTCAACCCTCCTCCTTTACCCGGGCTTGGAACCGGCAGTAACAGTCTATAGTAAATAATACTGATATAATATCATATCAGTAGTCTGTGGTTACTTGTGAATAATTAATCAATGGTAATATATTTTCGTTTAGCAATTTCTACAGATCATTTCACGCCATTGATCTAAACACTGATATTTTCTTCTATTTATGTTTGTTATTAAAAATGAATGAGTATTATTAAAAAAGGTAATCAGTGGTTGAAAGAATGAAGTTTATTCTTTAATATTAATAAAAACAATAATCACGTATTGTTACATACCATGAAATCTAAACTATTACGTCATAAAATTCAATGTAATGAAAACATGATTTGTTCTAATTAAAACTGTAATGTTATAGTCGGTAAACAATACGACTAAATATAAAGTCGACAAAATCTATGTGTTTTAACATAGTGGATTTAATTTTATTAGAAACGTTCGTGGATATATACCTCTGAGAAATTTCATACTGGTGTTCGATGGCATACATATAGTATGTAAATATAATAATTACTAGGATTTATTTATTTATTTATTTTAACATATGGATATTGGTAGGTATAATGAGGCACCAAATACATATGCACCACACAAATCTCATTTGATATGTATGAGGGCTGTAATACTGCTCGGGTGCCCAAACTGAAGCAGGTGGTTTTCGTAGGGAGCCACACCCCGAGCCTTCGACCTGAAGGTCTGACCCACAAGGCAGTGGAGCATCGTAAGGAGATACAGTCCCATGGCAGCCGGTGACCAACGATTGGTTCATACGCCATTCGTTCCTTCAGGATACTGGAGCCCATGTGCACCATTGGTTTGGAATCCGGTTAAAGCGCCGGACATTCGCTTTTCGTCCTTCCATTTTCGTAAACAGCACCCCTGACACAAGAAGGCAGTGAGTAGAAATTCCGTGGCAGAGGCTGAATATGCGTAGCCATGTGAGAGCATTTCGAGAGGGAGAGCGGACTCTCTCCGCTCTCGGCCATGCCAGGACATTTAAGGGTAATTACTAGGATACCTGACTGAATTTATCGATAATAACTAACGGGTTTTGATTCACTACTGATCAAGTGGTATAACACCCTTCATAACGTCTTGTTTTGATTTAATATTCAGTCATGAATGCAAAACTTTTGATAAGCTTCATGTTAGAAGACGACCATGAGTCCGTTCTTTTCGATTTATGACTATTTTCAAATTGTTGTCATGAAATTATTATTAGTAAAAGTACATATCTGGGAAGCATCATCGATGAAAAAGGAGGTTCAGATGCAGATGTAAAGGCGAGGATCGGCAAAGCAAGGGTCGCATTCCTACAATTGAAGAACATATGGAACTCAAAACAACTTTCAACCAATATCAAAGTGAGAATCTTCAATATGAATGTCAAGGCAGTTCTACTGTATGGAGCTGAAACTTGGAGAACTACAATTACCACCAACAATTAGGTACAAGTATTTATAAATAGTTATCTACGCAAGATACTTAACATCCATTAGCCGGATACCATCAGCAAAAGCCTTCTGTGTCAGAGAATAAACCAGCTTCCAGATGAAGAAGAAATTAGGAGAAGACAATGGAAATGGATAGGACATACATTATGCAAGTCATCAAACTACATCACGAGGCAAGCCCTAACTTGGAATCATGAAGGGAAGCAGAAAAGTGGAAGGTTAAATAACACATTATGTATGGAAATAGAAGCACATATGAAAAGGATGAATAACAACTGGAAAGAGCTGGTAAAAATTGCCCAGGAGAGGTTTGGATGGAGAATGCTGGTAAGCGGCCTATGCTCCTTCACAAGGAGTAACAGGCGTAAGTAAGTAAGTAAGTAAGTAAGTAAGTAAGTAAGTACATTTTGAATGGCTTATTTAATGAAGTACTTTAGATTCACTTTATCAACTGCAAAAGTTTATCTTACTGATTATAAATAAACACCAAATAACGTTGAAATTAACGACATCATTATTTAAATTTGAATCGATCAATTACGTAACTTACTAATTATCTATGGTTAAAATCACTTCAATAATACAATTAAATCCATATGATTATTTCAGTTAGCTATTAGAAGCTAAGTGTAACGTGGTAACAATGATGAATAAACAGTGTTGTTTTTTGTTGATAATTATTGATTTGTCCAATTCTTTTCTGTATTGAATAACACCATCTTTTTATAAATAAATAATTGGTAAATATTACATCATCATATTTAAAAGGAAACTTGGATAATATGAAATGTATAATGGAAAATAATTACTGAGTACAATAAACTACTCAAAGTTAATAATCAACAAATAAATTGTGGAAGAATCATTCTAATTGGTTGAATAATTTAACCAATAAAAGAAGAGTGTTAAATATATTTCATTATTTCCTCCTTTCTTTTGATTGGTCCAGTTTTCCATTCATTTAAAAAAATAAACACTTGTACTACTGATTGAATTATTATTTGATTAAGCCAATTATGGCATTAATCAATCATAATGTTGAGTTATAAAATATGAATAAATATGTCTCACGTTATTGGGATGACCTAATATTGTCTGGGTAAAGGCAAAATAGAGATTTGTGAAGATTGTAGTAGTTTTAATAGTTCATTTCATGAGTTGATCAAAACTAGAAACACCTGGTAGAAATGAACAGCCATTTCGTCTTTGTATGGGACTCCCCAACAGCTCATATGTGAGACTCAAACCTGGAACATTTGGTTTCGCGCGCGAACACTAATATTTCATAACAGTAAGAGGTTAAGTGTTCATGTGCGAGACCGAAGGTCCCTAGTTCGAGTCCTACGTTTAGGATTGTAAATGTGCACTGTTGAGTATTCTCATACTACAACAAAACTGCAGTCTAGTGCTTCCAGGTTTTAAATGTTGTTTCTAGCTTAGACTGACTCATGAACTCAACTATTAAAAAGTTACATTATTAATATGAAATGGAAAATAAAAACAATCCAGTGCTTATTTATTTCTAATTATGGTCTAGCAAACATCAGTTTTTAATCTCAAAACAGTAAGGAAAATATTTTTATTTTAGGTGAATTTGAGTGAAAAAATTTCTAAGTACTGACTAAAGATTTTTTTCAACTACAATTTAGCATAAAAACTCAAGATATAATAATCTCCTGGAATATTATTTCGCTTAGTCCTAACCACTTATTAAGTGAAATAAATATTACTGATGGAATATAGCTAACTGGCAATCGGTACCGATAGTCCACTGAATCAATTGTAAATGAGAGTCAATAGATTTAGAATTTACAGTTTGTGGGGACTAGTGTAAATGAGAAACTTGAATGATGAAAATAAAAAAAATATTCCTGAAAGTAAATGATTCTTGAATAACTTTGAGAAACTAAGAGTAATCTATAGTCAGTCATAAAGTAATTACCATGGAGAATCCATAATACATATGGAAAAAATCAAATACTATATACTGTTTTTTTGTGATATGAAGACTTTTACATATTGTGAATGAGTTCCTCTCTTTTCAAGTGGTTTAAAATCATTTTTTATCTGTATGCTCTATGTGACTATGGTTAAGAACTTAGTCCCAGTTACCAAAGTAGTTTACTTTTATTGTTCATTAGTTTAAAATCTATTCATTACATAAATGATCCTTGCTAAATGAACTAATTTTTCACAATTAATTTCAATGGTTAACTGTTCAGACATTTTATTATGAGGGACAATTTTTCAAGTTTATAGAAAACTTGCCTATGTGTACAAACAAGAGTTGTCGTAACCTTGAATTGACTTTTGTAATCCTTAAGTCATTATATGTCCTAGGGTAATGCGACAGTTTCCTATTCTATATAATATAATGTAAATTTTTCTCTCTACATTATATATAATCATTACTTTTAGTACGGGAAGTTGTAAAGATTGTAATATTTTAACAGTTGAATTCATCAGTCGATTGTTCATAAATATAAAACTCATATTGTTCAGATTAACATTGTCTTCTCATTGTTCTATCGACATTACACTGTTAATAGTTTATTTCTTTTTTGAAAAAAAAACACACTAATTAATGCTTCAATAGTTATCCGTTGAATAACACGTTCCATTATAAATTCAATTTAAATATCCGCCACTTAATTTTCATATTCATCATTCATTTTACAACATTAGATCATTATAAAAATTTAGTTTCTTACATTCATTCATTCATTCATTCATGCGGAATTTCAATTATCCTATGTGTTCGTGATAAAATTCACAAAATGTTCTCTGTTACTTAGTGCATTTAACTAAAAAGAAAGGATACTTTAATAAAAAGAAAGTAACTTAAACTGCTTTAGGGATAAACAATATTTTGACTAGTAGGGATAACATAATTTAAAGAGGCTTTGTTTATTTTTTCTTATTCTTACATTTAAGTCTTTTGTTCATTTTAAAAACTTAAATGTTAAAACTTAGAGGGAAAAATAAAATGAAATTCGAGATTGATAAGTTGCATTAACCTGGAGATTTCATAATCTGTTTTTTTATGCAATTGGTTAATTGATTCGTTTGAGACTGATAATATGACGGTTATTCGTGAAGGTCAAACTTATTAATCCAAAGTACTTCGAATGAAAGGCTGTTAACAGATAAGATGAATGTTTGGGGAAACCAAATACACTTCGATTACGTAATCTAACAAACAAATGTATATATTTAAACAGTTGAGAACATGAGTCAATTAAAGCTAGACCACCATGGAAAATCTGGAAGCACTGGACGGCCGTTTCATTCTATTGTAGGACTCCTCAGTAGTGCGCATCCACGACCCCGTCCCGCGGGATTCGAACCCAGGACCTGTCATGGGTCTAGCTTAAATTGACTCATGATCTCAACTGTTTAAGTTACTACAATCTCCACAAAAACTCTTCCTGATATGTATATATAACTGTTCACTGTATATTGATCACTTTCAAGTTTATTTGGTTCTTTAATACTGATCGAATTTTACTCGATTATCAGTCAAGTTACAATACATAGCAACTATACAAAATTTCGGTTTCGGCTAGAATAACCTAGTTACAAACTCTAGGACTGCATAACTATCTGAGGCAGATGCGAAACCTAGTCTCTAAAGTTCCTGTTCACTACCTAAGATATAAATGAACAAAAACTTAGGGGATACTAAATATGAGTAAACTTTATAGACAGTATGGCTTATGGTCAATCGATAGACTACATATGTTATTGAATATTCAATGAATAGAGCAAGTTGAATATCAATCAATCTTTAATTGAAGTTATTCTGTTCATAATATGGTTAGTATCTGTTGTCATTTTACCATTCATCAGATTGATAGATGAAGTAATTAATGTGAGACCATAATTTATAAACGAACCAATTAGATTTAGGATAATAGGTCTTGGATTTAAGCGCGAAATTTATCAATCCATTTGGCTAAATTTAATCCATAACCCTAACCACCAATCGCAAACTACAATCCATATTCTTCACACAGATTTAAAACCATGTTGGTGACTATTCTCAAGATCACTTTAGAATCGTCCGTAGATCATTATATTACAATCCCATACGTTGGAAACGAGAAAGTTTAATTTCTTCAAATATATCAGTTTAAAAAGTTTTATTGGCTTAAGAGTCACATGAAAAATTGAAATTTCCTTTTAGTTATTAGGATAAGTAATGTTGTATTATGCCGCTTTCATTGCTGGTCGATTCCCAAGTGTTGATGTTAGTTACAATATTAATGTTTTTCAAAACAAATTTTGAAGCATGGTTTTATTAATACATTCTTACATATCGTTAAGTTTTATATTTAATCTATATAAAAATGTTCACCTTTTAGCTTAATTAATTATGTAGTATACACTGTGTAATCCTTTACAATAGACTACGGTAGCTTCCATTTACAAACGATTAGGTTATTGTTTCTATACAAAACTGGAAGAACTTGAACTTCATAAATTCGAAGAATGACACTTCACACTATAACTGTATTCCCCTATGTGATGAAAGCGAGAAGTTAAGTGCTCAGTAAAAACTTGACACTTAAGAGGACGAAATTATAATGTAACAACTTTGTTCCTACTAGCAATAAACATGATCTTGAAACATGCAACAAAGTATGTAAAGTAAAATTGAGAACAACAAATCAAATAACAGTGAAGGTCATTACGGAAATAAGAATGGAAGAAAGTGTTATGCCAGATATCTTTACACATCACCACTACTGTTTATTAACAGAAAAGTAGAGAGTTCAGGGTGCACTTAGAAGAATATTTCTATAATTCTGAGTTAGATTTAAGGTAACTAAGTTAATCTCAGTAGTATTATTCAAAAACCTTTTTGCAATTAAGGCTGTAAATAAGTAATGACTTAGTAAGTAAAACATTTGATTTTTGAATTAATAGATCACAAGATTAAATACTGATTAGTATACATCACATTTCGAAAGTCTTCACAGAATCCCTATCTGTCATATAAAAAAGTGTACCTAGTTCTGTATTTCTTAAACGAATAATATTTGCTGTAGGCCACAGCTGAAGTGTAAAAATTCACAGTTTTGATAAGTACACATGACCAACCTAATAGACAATGCTACATATTTAAAGCAATTAGTGCCTTTGATAAATTTCGATAATGTTATAAGAAGACGACGATTATCAGAACTATGTGATGATATATTAATGCAATACATGTCGAACAATCTGATCCCACATATACTTGTTAAGAACATAAAAAGTCAACTAGACTGGAAATGGGGTAAGATGAGACAATGATAATAATTAGAGTAATAATGATAATAATAATGTGAACACAATTCGAAACCTAATCACTCTGAATAATAAGTCAAAATTACCAGAGTAGGTTTAAGGTAAGATCAAACTGTTTTTGAATACACAAAGGGGGTTTGAATTTTCGTTTGGTTTTCATTTAATTACGACTTTGTAATTTTATCATGATAAATGGTAACTCAATTACTATGATAAATTATGGATCCATTCAATCTGATATTCATTTATTTTCTCATTATTTTAGTTATGAATTAATTAGTTGCTGGGCAACTACTAGGTTGTCGACTACTCAAATCTAACCAGAATAAAATGTATATATATATATCAGATGAGGTTTTGTGAATATTATAGTAATTTCAATGGTTGAGATCATAAGTCAGTTGAAGCTTGACCATCATGCTCATCCACAACCTCGCCCTCTGCGAGATTCGAACTCAGGACCTACTGGTTTCACAAGCGAGCACTTAGCCACTAGACCACTGAGCCCG